GAGGCGGGGGATGCACAGGTACAAAGGACAGTTTTAGCGGGCACACGCACACGGCAGGCAGGATCAGTGGGTTATCCTGAATGCTCATTCCCACCCCTCACACACCTCCACAATCTGTGGAATCGGGCTCTTCCCAGTAATTAACAGAGGTGAGACCATCAGCAAAAGGCAGTGTGAGGAGCGGGCTGATGTGCTGCTACAAACTGCCACTACCTGAAGGGAACCTGTGAGAAAGATGGGGAGAGACTGTTTACAAAAGCAGGTAGTGACAGGGCAAAGGGGAACGGCTTCAAACTTAAGAGTACGTTTAGATTAAATACTARGAAGAAAGTTTTGGCTGTGAGGGTGGTAAGGCCCTGGCACGGGCTGCCCAGAGCTGTGGCTGCCCCATCCCTGGACGGGTTCAAGGCCAAGGTGGATGGGGCTTGGAGCAACCTGCGACAGTGAAAGGTGCTCCTGCCCAGGGCAAGGGGTTGGAATGAGATGATCTTTCAATCCTTCCACCCTAAACCATTTTGATTCATTAAACGGAGAGGCACGGGTATAACTGGCACTTGAGAAAGATGAATCATTTTACAGGGTTTTTTTATATTTATAAGGTAGAGTTCATGGTGATGGCAGGAGGCAGCAGCTCCACCAAAGCACACAGCATTCTTTGTGAGAGTGCTCCAACTGTGCCTTGTGCACTAGGAAAGGTCCGGAGCCCGGCTTGGGCAGAAGCTGTAGCACCAGTCTCTCTCCAGGGTGAGACTACTCCAGAACAACAGTCCCTCCTGCCGCCTCCAGCGCTGCTTTGATCTTCTCTGCTTCCTCCTTGGAGGCATTCGCCTTGATCTCCTGCGGAAGGGACTCCACCAGCTTCTTTGCCTGGGACAGGGACAAAGTACAAGGCTTGTAAACTGGCTTTCACTAACTGGATTATTGGATTTAGAGCCATGATCCTGACCTCTGCTAAAGCCAACCGTGGTAACTCATCACCGACCGGTACAAACCMCAAGACTTTCACTTGAACTACAGCACATCTCACCAGAAGGCAGCTAAATCTGACTGCAAGCGATGGCACATGCACTGGAAAACCTTCCAGCACGTSCCTGGTAGTCCCAGCTGTGCACCCTGGCACAGTGTAGGGTGAGGCACAGCCCCATGCACTCTCCTGCCCCGTCAGTGCCCACCCGGCCCGGGCTGTGCAGTGCCCGTGTTTTGGTGCACATACCTGTGCCAGCAGGAGGGGAGGCACAGCAGAGTCTGGACACAGCTGCACTGGGTAAAACACAGCTTCAGCACAGACAACTGGACGACACAGCATACTGACATTTTAGGGGTTTTATAAGCAAAACTACTGGCACTAACTAAGCAGCATTGCAATACTTGAGGCATGCTGAAAAACCGTYGAGCTAACTAAAGTAATTTAATGCAGTGCTGTTATGGAGAAGGCAGCCCAGGGGGACAAGCCTCTGGTGTGGTCAGACCCTCCTGCTCTTACACCCAGCAGCTCTCTGCACAGCACTGCAGGGGTTTAGCACTCACCAGACCAGCCACTGTGCTGGCAGAAAGGTTTTRTCCTTTTGATTTCTGCTGGGCTCAATGGCAATGTATCTGTGGTGGCAGAAAAACACTTTTTTTTTTTTTTTTCTGGTGTTAGAAGGCACAGACGTGCCGGCAGTGCTTGGCGGGGAAGGAATGCCTTTGCTCACCAGGACAGGATCTGCACAGGAGCCTGTTCAGGCTCACTGTGATGAGGACAGGCAGCATAACACAGGTTATTAATTTCTGAACGCTGCTCACCAGGTGCCAATCCATTCTAAAGCAGCCCTGGTCAAGAGAGGCAGCTATTCCTGGTGCTCAGCAKGAAGAAGAGCAGAGCCCAAACCAAGTGGGACCCACACAGCAGCAGAAATGGGGCAGACAGCACGTTCCAAACCCAGCTAGAGCCCAGGGCTGGTGGTAACACAGGGTCAGCATCTGCTGGGGGGCTCCCAACAAACCTCCTGAGGTGCAGCCAGCCTTGCTCTGCCATGTGCTGATCACACAGCTGTCTCACCACGCAGTTCTTGTCACAGGACTGATGCTTGGGTCCCAACAGTGCTCAAAGTCATCACTTGGAAGCTGTGCTTCCCTCCATACCATCAGCAGCTCTACAGACTGATCCCCCAGACACCTCGACTCAAAGGCAGTAAAATTTGCAGTAGAAGTGCTTCAGYTCCACTTTGAACCTCTGCAGGCAGAACCTCTGCAACCATTTGTGTTGTGTTTCACCCAAAGTGCCAGGCTTGGACACTTCACACTTGAGTTTGCCTGCAGTAACTGGCACYGAAGAACAGCTCATCCAACAGGGGCCACATGCTAAGCCAAGCTCATTTAGCATCAGCAGTTAACTATCTGCTGATCATGTCCATTATAGGGTTTGGTATTTCCATATTTGTTTGGGACTGATAATAGATTTACAGCTTTCAGAAGAACCACATTGTCAGTCAGGTAATTATCGCCATGGCACAGCCAAACTTGTACCTGTGCCACTGATTCTCTCTGCTGGCTTTGCAATGCAGCAATAAGAACAGGTCAGAATATCAGAATATCATCAGCAAACCCTTCTGCTCTCCTGGGCTACAACAGGAGCAGATACTGCCAGGGCTGAGAGGTCCATCTTCTCCCAGGAAAGAGGTGGAAACACCACCTATAAAATGAAGGGCTCTGAAAAGAYTGGGAATACTGGACTGCAAGCGTGAATTAGAGAAGCTCATTTAAATTCAGAAATACATTGGCCTTGGGAAAGGCAAGTAGCAAGGGATCCTGGCTACTCCTGAACTGCAAGAAAGCTCACAGCAGCTCTCAGGTTTGGAGAAACTGAGGCTGGCATGGATGTCTGAGTCCTTTGCTCCTCTTTCATTCCCCTGCCTCTGATAAGGGAAAATACCAGACAAAGGTATAACCAAATCCTGCTCCCCATGTCTGCGCTGCGATGCACACAGGCAGACTGGGCTTCTGAACACACAAATGCTGGCCCCCTTTAGACAGAGAGCTGAGGCTGCCGGACCCGTCCAGCCCCGGCTCAGCACCTCCTCACCTGCACGAGGTTCACTCCTGGCACGAAGTTCTTCACCTCCTTGATCAGCTTCACCTTGTCAGTGGCCTTCAGCTCCGTCAGCCGGACGGTGAAATGCGTTTTCTCTTTCTTGAGCGGGACCTGCTCCTCCTCCTGGAAGCAGCCGGAGCGCGGTGAAGCCCCGGGGCCGATCCCACCGCCCCCGCCCGCGGCAGCCCCGGGRCCCCGCTCCCGCCCCTCCCGGAGCCCCCGGTACCTGCGGAGCCGCCTGCGCGGGCAGGAGGGAGGCGGCGGCGGCCGCGGGCATCACCCCCACGTCCGGGATCTTGAGCGTCTCCTGCGGGCAGAGCAGCGGCACCCGCGGCCGGTCAGGCGAGGCACGGGGCCGGGCCGGGACGAGCCGGGATAGGCCGGGAACAACCGGGCCAGGCCGAGTCGGGAAAAGCCGGGAACAGCCGCGTTAGGCCGGGAACAACCGGGAACAGCCGCGTTAGGCCGGGCCGGCCCCGCACCCACCTTGAGCAGCGCGTTGAGATCGGCCACCTCCAGCAGCGTCAGCCCCGCGATGTCCCGCACCAGCTGCCGCACCTTGGGCGAGTACTCCTTGGCCGCCGTGTCCAGCGGTGCCCCGGCCAGCGCCTCCGAGCGCCGCGCGGGGCCGGTGCCGAGCGCCCGGAGCCCGGCGGGGGGGACGCGGAGCGGGGACAGAGGGGACAGCGAGCGGGGGGACAGCGGGGCCAGCAGCGCCCGGCGGGCGGCGGGCAGAGCCGCGGGCACGGCCGCGGGCACAGCGGGCAGCATGGCGGCCCCGAGCACACCGAGCTCCCCCGCTCCCGGCTCGCCCCGCGCTGCCGCTCCCGCTGCCCTGGGCGGCGCTCGGTACCGACACAGCCAATGCTGACACAGGCACAGCGAACCGATGGGCCATGGGAGATGTAGGCAAAATCGGGCAGAATGGAAAAGCAGAATCGACCGCRATAAATCCTTTACTATTTATAACGATCAGTTCTAAAGAAGAGTCGAAAAAATGTCACTTCTGATCGAACAGAAATTAGTTTCTCTACAGAATGTTTGGAAGAATTTGGAAGAATCACTGTACACCACGGTTAATAGTAAAATTGAAGCTTAATGAATGCAAACTAAAACAAAGATAAAGTCGGAAAGCGTTGTCATTTTACCTTTTTGACTTTCACTAATTGCAGTAACTCATCCTAAGGCTCCATAAATCTTAATAATTTAGGACTATCCATCTACAGCATAGAAACATTCCAGACACTGTAGGAAGGAAATTCACGTGGCCGTATTTGAGCAGAAGCTGGCCAGCGCTGCGGGGGAAAGCACAAAGGGATSTGCACACGAGCCCGCTGTTCGTTCCAATACTTTATTGTCACCGTTAGCGCTCGGTGTCCCCTGCCAGGGGTGGGGACGGGGACAGACCCGGCCCAGCAAAGGGTCCCGGGCCCGCGAGGGCGCTGCAGGGAGCGGGGATGGGGCGAAGCTGGTGCCGGGGGCCGGGCAGGGCTGAAGCCTCGGGGGCTGTGGCCACAAGCCCCGGGGCAACGACAGGGACGGGCTGAGCCCCCGCCCGRCCCCAGGGACCACCAGCTGCCGGGGATGGGTGGGTGGGTGAGCCAGGGGGCTGCTGTGCCCCTGCCCCTTGGTCCCAGAGCCGGCAGCAGTAGCCTGTGGCCCCACAGCCCCGGGACATGGGCCAGAGGGCAGGATGAGTAGTCGAAGTACAGAGTGATTTCAGATGAAGAGTAGTGTTACACAGGACCCACAGGAACCCCGGGATCCCTGTGCCCTGTAGCTGCATCAGTCAAACGAGATGAGCTGGGCCTCTCCGCTGCCRGGGGGCTGCTGCCCAGGGGCAGGCGCTGGTGGGGGCTGCTGCTGGGGGGGACCCCCGGCTGGGGCCACCTGCAAGAGAGGAGGCAGTTTGGTTAGCATGTGGCTTCCTCAGAACATGTGCACCACTGGATGCCGAGCCCTTGGCCAGGGGCACGCACCTGCTGGTAGAGAGGCTGCTGCCCGGGCAAGTAGGACTGCTGGGCTGGCAGGCTGCTCAGAGCTGTGTCCTGGCTTGGCATGGCAGACATGAGACCCTGTGTAAACGAGGGAGTGGCTCTCAGAGGGAGCACCCACACACAGGGCAGTGGTGACAGCCCCCACCCTCCAGCAGAGCTCTCCCAGGATGGCTCCATGGCCTGGAGCTCACCCACACCTCGTCCCCCATGCCCAGGCAGGGAGTGCTCACCTGCATGTTGTAGGGCTGGTAGCCCATGGAGACAGACTGGCTGCCCATGTAAGCCATGGTGCCTGACTGGGGTGCCTGCGAGATGGCTGGGATGCTCTGTGACTGTGAGGCTGCAGTCTGTGGGGAGAGGCTGGTGAGAGCTGGAATGGGCAGCACATCTCCAGACAAGGCCCTTGAGCCCAGGACTAGCTGTGACTCCAGCCCACTCCCACCGCAAGAGCAGCAGATCTGGAGATCTGGGACCAACAAGCCCATCCTCCCTTCTGCTCAGAGATCCCATTGCCAAGTTTGGGKACATTGCCCAGCCTCACAGAATGCCCCAGCCCTTGCCCAGTTGCTGCAGGCTGTGCTGCCTCACTTGCCTGGTAGCCCTGTGTGGGTGTGGGCTGGTAGGACGAATATGCCGGGGTGGTGGTGGGCACCGCCGGCCCCTGCTGAGGCCCCTGCCCAGCACTGGTGCCTGGCTGGTACATGTAGGCATTCACCATGCTGGGATCTGGGTGGAGAGAGCAGAGTTTAGAGCGACCACGTGGGGCTCACCCCCATGTCCTTGGCTGAAGTGCCCCACGTACCCGTCCCGGTGACAGGCATGGCAGCGTACGGCCCCGTTCCCCCTTGTGCAGCCTGGTTCATGTACACGCTGTGCATGGGAGAGCCCTCCACAGAGCCGGCGGGGCTGAAGGTGCCAGGGAAGCTGGTGGGCCCAGAGGGCTGGTAGATCACCCCGCTGGCTGCGGGCATGGCCTGGAGCTGTGCGAGAAGGAAAGCCAGCTTTAGGCTGCAGTCCCTGGAACCTGGCAGGAGGGTGCCTGCCCCAGAGGCTGTACCTGGGCGTAAGGCAGTGAGAAAGCTGGCATCTGGGCTCTCATCTGGATGGTCTGCTTCTGCTGCTCCAGGCGCAGCTGCCTCTCCTTCTCCTGCTCCTGCAGTCGCTGGATGGCCAACTGACGCTGCATCTCCAGGTACTCCTGGGGAACATGGCACTGGTGGCTGGGAGCAGAGATACCACACACCTCTSCTAGCAGAGCAGCCATCCCTGCCAGCCCTGGCCCGGGCCTGCAATACCCTGGACACACTTCCCTGCCTCACCTGCTTCTTTTGCCTCATRATCTCCAGCTTCTGTGCCAGCTGGATCTGGCGCTGGCGCTCTGCCTCCTCYGCTGCACGGCGCAGCTTCTCCTGGTGCTCCTCCCGCAGCGCGTTCAGAGCCCCACGCGCATCCCGGATCTGCGCCAGTTTGTCCTGCAGGCCTTCATAGTACACTGGGGAGGGAAGGGACAGCTTCAGGAACAGGGGACACAGCACTGGGACTGCCCCTGCATCCACACTAGCTCCTCTCCAGTGAGACTGCAGCACGGCAATGCTGAACCCCAGCCCTGGGGAAGCCCTGGCTGCTCTCCACCCGCACGCAGGGCCAGCAGCTCCCCCAGCTCCCACGCACGCCTGCGCTCGTCCAGCTGGTTGAGCAGCTCCAGCAGCTGTGGGTGCATGTTGTTGATGGACTGGAAGAGGGACAGCACGGCAGAGTCGTTGGTGATGCTGCGGCCTCGCATGTGGTTGCTCTTCATGCGGTTGACGAAGGTGGTGACGGCGTTCTGCAGTGCCTTCAGGAACTGCTCGTGGTTCTCCTCAGACTCTCCATTCTGGTACTGCTGCTGGAAGGAAGGATGGGGTAGCCACTCAGCTGCCACCTCCCAGTGCCAAGAGCCAGCAGCCAGCCTGAAGAGCCAAAGTCGGGTGCTTCTTGCCCCTTGTAGGTGTCAGACCCAGGCCCAGGYCCCCTCTTACCTCAACCACCCCGAGAGGAGCAGGGTGGGCTTCCCCAGGCTGCACACCCGGCTCTGTCAGGGACAGGGGTGCTGACGGTGTGGGGCTCTTGCGAACCTCCTCCTGTTTCTTCTCCCAGTAGTTGCGGTTCAGGTACCGAGCCAGCTGCCAGAAGAGAAGGAAGATGAACATTGCTGCCTCACAGGAGCAAGTCTCTGCTGCAGACTAGCAGGGCCAGGATCCTCACCTCTGGGTCAATGTCCTCGGCCAAGGGAGCAGAGGAATTCTGGAAAGAAACAAATGGGGAAATGCAGTTCAGCAAAACCACAGATCCGCAGGTCCCACACAGATCCCCAGCTCGGACCTGGCCATGTGTGACCACCAGTGCTGAGCAGCAGTGACAGCCTCACAGGGGACACACACTGGTGCACTGGAGGCACCCCAGTGCCAGCTGAGAACACACCTTCTTGCTCAAAACACAGTGAAGGAGCAAGGGGTTGAACAGGGCAAGTATTTTCCCTCAGAATGGGTAAGAAATTGGACACAAGCAGGGTAGACTTGGGCTCAGGAAGTGGCCTGTCTTCAGCTATTTCACACAGAGGAGCTGCCACGGACWTACCACAGGCGGGGAGTAGAGTGTGCTGACCGGGGGAGCTGATGATGTGACAGGAGTGGGCTCAGCCTTAGGGTACATGGAGTAGGTTGTTTTCTGCCTCTGCAAAAGAGAAAATTGCCAACTCAGAGAGAGTTCTGACTTCTCCAAACCAACCACAACACAGTCTGTGCCTGGCTCTTTCACCCTGTCATCACAGAGGCCTTGAGCCTTGCTCACACTAGGACATGTCCAGTGATCTATTATGGCCCAGCACAGCTGGGCTGAAGAGCAATGACCCCCCCATATCCCAGGAGGGAACAAACCATTCTCTCTTTCTCCTCAGCCTCTGACTGAGACAAGGCAATGGCCAGCTGGAGCTCCTCCTCCTCYTGCAGAGCTGTCTCATCACGCTTTGGAGGCAGCTGGAAGTGAAAAGATGGAGCTGGTCAGTAATGGGATCAACAAACAGGCCAGGATCAGCAGATCCCCTACAGAACAGCCACTCACCTGGGACTGCTGAGAGAGGGGGCTGGTCAGGTACTCAGGGGGCAGYTCAGAGGTGGCAGCAGCTTTACCTTCAGTTTTCCTGTAGGGACAGGTGACAGTATGGACTGAATGCCCCAGCTCTGCATCCCAGCAGCAAACCCCACTCCCAGGAAGGAAAAGGGCCCAGCCCAGCCTGCAAAGCCCTCGCTGTGCTCTGCAGGGCTTCACACCATGCTTCCCCCTCACACTCCCAGCTGTGGCAGGAAAAGAAACCCACCACAAAGGGTACTGACTTGTTGAGGTGTTCGTAGCASGGCTCACAGACTCTCACTTCCTTCTCAATCCCAAACTTGGGGATGGTGGAGTACTTGGAGGAGCATTTCCCACAGAAGATCTGCCCACAGGCCCGGCAGTGATGCTGTGAAGGACAGGAGACGTGAGTGGGGTGGCAGGACATTCTTTCTCCTTTAGCCAACATCACTCAGACACTCCTAGCATTCCCTGCCAGCAGAAGGAAACATGGTCTGTCCCAGCACCTTCCACACAGCAATTCCTGCAGGGAGCTCTGCAAATCCCTGCACAGAGCAGGGAAGCAGAGGGGCAGGAGCAGCACCCACCTTCCGTGTCACAACACCAAACTGCACCCGGCACCGGTGACACTCCTCTGCATCCACCCAGTCTGGAGCCTGTCGGGGTAAGGAAATGTGTCAGAGAGAGGAGAGCACCTGCACTGGGCCTTTCAGGAGCTCTGAGGGCTAACAGGGCTCTCATGGGGGCTAACAGGGCTCTGAGGCTAACAGGGCTCTCATGCCTCAGGGGGAGACTGCAGGCACTTGCAGCTCAACAGAAAATACTAATCCCCCAAGTATCCCCTCTAGTGTTCCTTAGAGACAGTGATGCCTTCCCAGCCAGTACAAGACTCAACAGGAAAATGTTTGCCCAGCAATCACTTTAGCAGTGCCCTGCTGCCCACATCCAGCCTGCCAAGCTGCTGCCAGGCCAGCGAGCAGGAGGAATAACAGGATTGGCTCCGAATCCTGGTCAGTTCTCCCAGCAAGGTCTCCAATCTGCACAAAGTGTTGGAATGCAAGAGCAGGTTTGGCAGGAAGGGGATGGCAAAACAGATCTGTGCCCCAGTGGCAGCTGCTTTGCCCCAGCACAGAGCTCACCCTCTCGGCAGCGAACATGGCATCACTCTCCTTGAACTCGGGGAAGACGTGACCTGTGGGACAAGAAATGCACTGCTGTTGTTGTCAGAGGAATCCTCTGGCACGTGAAGGCCGTGGTGCTGCAAGCTCATGCTGTAGGTGCCAGCTCTGCACCAGCTGCTGTCCTGATCAGCACCTCTGACACACCACCACAGCCTCCCCTCAGTCATGGCCTCAGGACAATCCCCAACATTTCCCTGGCACACGCACAAGGGACACCACAGGCCCCCAGATAAGGCAGATTAGCTCTAGGGGACACTGCTGTCCTGGCACAGAAGGGAAAATGTCACACCAACACTGCCAGGAAGTGTAAGTGTGGACCCATCCTGGGAGCACGAACAGAAGATTGTGAGGAACTGCCCCACAGCAAATCCCTCCCAGATGACATGGTGACTTGCTGCCAGTCTCCCTATGCACAGCAGCAGCTCCTGCTTTTCAGGGCTCCCTGCCAGGCCTGAGGTGCTGGAGGCCCAGAGCAAGGCAGTCCCAGCTCTGGGACCACTGGGCAATCCCAGTTCTGGAACCACTGGGCAGTCCCAGTTCTGGGACCACTGGGCAGTCCCAGTTCTGGAACCACTGGGCAATGCCAGTTCTGGGGCTGTCCCATCTTTGCAGTGGGGTTTAGTCATCCTGAGGGGCTGTCGGGTATGGGAAACCAAGGAAGAGCTCAGTGTTTCAGGTCTGGATTTTGCTCACACCAGGAGTGTTCCCCCACCTGTGGCCCCAGTCCTCACCTTCCACYTTCATGATCTGATAGGTGTCCTGCACCACTTTGTACTTGGGCTCGTTGCGGAAGGCATGAGCCCAGGCCTGGATCAGGTACAGGATCTTACTGCGGACACTCGTTTCCACTTGCCTCTGCACAGGAAGGGAGGAGAAAAAACATCTGAGAAAATGCCCCTGAAACCCAAAGGATGGTGTGAACCCCCTGAAGGGCAGCCAGAGATACCACTCAGGAAACAGAGAGTTTAGAGTACTCAGGAGAGATAAGAGCTGTCAGAAACCTGCAGAAAGAACAGCACAGCACAGATGAGAGACCCCTTCAGCTCTTGCCAGCACGAACAACAAAACATCCCTTGGAGCAGCACAGACCAACTGAACTGAGAGCTGTGGCCTCCATGTTTAGAGCAAATGTCCAGTGGCTCTGTGKCCTGCCCAGCAGCTTTGTCCACCCCTGACAAGTGCCCATCACACACTCAGAACACAGTGGGACCCTCACTGCCCAGCACAGCACAGCCTGCCTTGCCTTCTCACTGGCACTGGTGGCAGGGGGTGCCTGGACAGTGCCAGCACCTCCAGCCCAGGAGAACTCAAATCCATCTCAGGATGTGACACAGTGAGGACAGCTGGGAYAGCTGCCCTTTGGAGGCAGGGACAACTGCATCACAGTTCAAGGAACTGGAGAAAAGTTGGCAAGCCTGTTGTGACCTCAGCCAGCTTCTGAGCTGCCGTGTCATCAGCTGCCTGAGTGATCACATCCACATGACTGTTCCAGAATCCACAGGAAGCACAGGAGCACTGTCAAGCTCTGATTTCAGCCAAGACCTTGGCCCACACAGCATCACTTACTGACAATTCCTGGAGCTCCAGCTTCTAGAACATTTGGCAAAATCCCGCATTCCATACATGTCCCAGCCCTGAACCTCATCAAAAGCTGGACTGTTTCAACCAGCATCATAAGCAGCAAAATTCCAAGTGTGGGAGGAGAATGGGGCAGTTGTGAAACTCCTGAGGCAAGCAAGGACTGCGAGAAGCACAAGTCCCTGGATGTGATGGATCTCCTGAGCCCCGGGAGCAGCTSTGCTACCACACCTGGCTGTGGCAGTGCTCCTCCTCAGGAGAGGATCTTGCAGGGACACTGAGTCAGGCCTGACAGGAAGGTGACAGGAGAGACACGCTGCTTGACGTGTGAGGTGATGGAACTCACACAGCTCATCCTCCAAGGATCTGGGTCACCTGTTTGGTTATTTCTGATGGAAGACTGAAGCTGTAAGGAAGGAATAGTACAATGCTAACAAGCTCTTGTCTGGGCACTGCTGTTCTGAGCTGGAAACTGGAGACAGGAGTTCTCATTTGCACTTCACTCATGGAATGCCCCAGTCCAAAGACACTCAAAGCACCAGCAGGCATCAGACTGGTGACAGTAAAAACAGCGTGTCAGCWSCAGCAGCCATGGTCACATCCTGCAGAGCTCCTGAACAACTCAACAGTGAAATGGCTGTGACACACAGGAAGCTCCAGTGGGTTTCTCCTTTGCTGCTTTACCCACCTGTGTGTGTCACMCTGTTCCATGGGAGGGAACTCCCCTGGCTGCTGCCTGGGTCCTGGTACAGGCACCAGACCATCACCAGGTTTCCTTTGCTGTCCCAAGCCAAGGGCTGCATCCAGGTGTGTTTACCATGGAAAGGCCCAGGGCTCTGCAGCACACTGCTCCCATTCACAGCACAGCCAAACCTCTGCTCCCAACACAGCTCCTCTTCCCACAAGCCTTCCTTCACCACCTACACTCACCCCTTCACGCCACATGATAGTTTGCTCTTTACTGAAGTGCTCAGTTCCCTACTGCTCCTTTCCCAAGAGGAAATCAAGAGAGGACACACACATTTCTTCCTGCTGCTGCTGCTTTGCCACAGGAAAAAAATGAGAGTAAAATAAATCTATTTACCTTGAGTATTTCCTTCAGCTCCTCCATGGTCTGTTTATTGGCCACCTCATCATGGACTGTTTGGCCACAGTTTTTAACCACKGACTCCATGACCTGCAATGGCCAAGGACAACATCAGCCTCTGGCTTCCTGCCTCYCCTGCAACCTGTGCAAGCCCCAGGACACATTACAGGCTAAACAYGGGGCACTRTTTYAGCAATGAGGTGTACTGGAACCACRTCAATCCACTCCCTGCACCAGGAACCAGCTGACCTTCCCCTATATGGAGGGTGGGGGCCTCTGCTGCCTGGACACCAACCCCAGGGACAGCGGCCCAAGTCTCAGCTTTGTCTGTTCCAAAACTGAGATGGAACTTAAGCCTGACCATCCCAAAACCTGTGAGACAGAGTCAGGAAGAGGAGGGCTCGGCACTGTGCTGCAGGGATCTGTGCAGTCTGAAGCCCCGCAGTGCTCCCAGCCAGGAGCTCCCAGTTACCTCCAGCGCGTACAGGGCCACGTGGGGATTCTTGTCGTTSACTTTTTTCTTGATGGCGTTGACGGCGTACTTGGCTCTGGTGGGGCAGAGGGGACACGTTCTCAGGGRACTGAGGATCCACAACTGCTGCTGACAACCCACCAACCCCCACCCTGASACGAGGGCACAGTTRGCTCASRAGTSCATGATTCACTGAGCTAAACTGGARAGGAATAAGCACTTTGAAGCTTGGATTTCCCTAAGGATTCCAGGCCAGGGGTAATCTGCAGCCCCCAAGGTCCAGAAGAATGCCAGCACATCAGGGAATGCTGTACAGTGTTTCTGATGCTCTTATGGAAGGATATAATGAGCTGTGTGCTACCACGGGCTGGCAGGGCCAAGACCCTCAGAGGGTGTCCCCTCTTGCACAGACAGAGTCCCACAGCGCGTCCAAAGCCCAGCGGCACTTACTGCGTGTCTCCCTGGCGGATCATGTCGCAGATCTGCAGGATGGATTCCCAGTCTGTCTCCAGCAGCAGCTGGCTCGTGGCCTTGTCTGCAATGACCAAAGGCAGGGTTCCGCCGTGAGCCGCGCTGCTCCCGGGCCCCGCTCCGCCACCGCCGCGTCCCCGCGACCGCTCCGGGCGTGGCGCTGCCCGAGCCTCGGGACAATCCCCGATTTCACCCGACAGCACCGACCCTCCGCTCCGGCACCGCGGGCCGCTCGCTATCCCGGTCCCGCCCCGAAACCGATGGGGCCCGGACAGTGCCGTGCTCCGGGCCCGCCCGCTGCCGGAGCCGAGCGCTGCGGACCCCGCGCCCCGTTCCCGTTCCCGTTCCCGTTCCCGTTCCCGTTCCCGTTCCCGTCCCGCGGCGGTACCGAGGAGCCGCTCGAAGGTGCCGCCGCCGCGCCCCATGGTGTCCGTGTCCGCCCGCCGCCGCCGCCGCTCCGGCCCCGTTCCGGTCCCGCTCCGGTCCCGCCCCGCCCCGGCCCTGCCGCTTCCGCTTCCGCTTCCGCCTCCGCCGCCGCCGCCGCCGGGCGGGGCCATGGCCGCGGGGCGCTCCCCGAGCACCTTCCTGCTGCTGGGGGCGGCGGGCGGCGGCAAGAGCCTGCTGGTGCGGCGGCTGCGCCATATCCCGGGGGCACCGGGGCACCGGGGGGCACCGGGAGGGCGGGAGGGACGCACCGGCGCGGGGTCCCGTTCCCGTTCCCGTTCCCGTTCCCGTCCCGTTCCCGGTCCTTAACGCGACACACAGCTGAGCGTGGAGGAGCCCGCGGAGCTGGGCGAGCCCCCGGCCACGCTGCCCACGGTAGGAGGGCCCGGCGGGGCCGAGCGGCACCGGGACGGGCGGGGGCTCGGGGCTCCAGGGCCCACCCAGCCCGGCTCCTGTCCCGCAGGTCGGCACCAACCTGACGGACCTGCGGCTGCCGCCCAGAGTGACCGTGCGGGAGCTGGGCGGCTGCATGGGACCCATCTGGCCCAGCTACTACAGCGAGTGCAGCGCTCTCCTGGTGAGCAGCACCGGGGGTCCCGAGGGACGCGGGGACAGGGGCTCCCGGGCCGGGCCGTCCCCTCGGTCTGGCCCCGTGCTGGGATTTCCCTGCTCCGTGCTCTGCTCTGGGCACACCCGCACCCGCTTTCCTCTCTCCCTGCAGTTCGTGGTGGACGCCTCCAATCCCACCCAGGTCTCCTCGTCCTGCATCCAGCTGCTCTCTGTCCTCTCCGCAAAGCCGCTCGCATCCGTACCTGTCCTGGTGCTCTTCAACAAGATGTGAGGAGGGTCATTCTAAGGGTGGGGGTACCTGGAGCAGCAGCTCTGCTTTGCTGCAATTGCAGCCTGGGCTGGGCTGGGCTGGGCCTGGCTGAGCTGGGCTGGGCTGGGCTGGGCTGGGCTGGGGGCCATCGTGCTGGACTGACCCAGGTCCCCTGTCCCCGCTGCAGTGACCTGCCCTGCTACATGTCGCTGGCAGAGATGAAGTCGCTGTTCCGCATGCAGGACATCGTGTCCTGTGCTACGCAGCCCATCACCATGCTGGAGATCAGTGCCCGCGATGGCACCGGCCTGGCCGATGTCCTGCAGTGGCTTCGGGCTGCCCTCAGAGAGCCCGGCTGAGTCCAGCCCTGCCGCGGGCCAGGACCATCCTGGCATGGAGGAACGTGGCAGAGGAGCAGCTGCCCTGCCTGAGGCTGGCAGCAGAGCCCGGGACAGTGTCTTGGGCTGTTGATGGACTGGATCCCTGTGGGACTTCACAGTAAAMCTCTCACCAAACTGTCCCGGCTGGTGGCTGCCCTGTGCTTGGGGAAAAACCCTGGGCTTTTGGGTAATGGACAAGTGGAGCTG